TGGGCTTCTAATTGCATTTCTGACCGTCATATATTTCAAGAACACGGTTATTTCGAACAAAACTCGTTAAATTATAAACAAAGCACCACATCACAGCAATCAAACAGACAAAAACACGGTGGCCGCAAATTGGTTGACAAAGATATTATCGACGTATCGGAAATGCACACCCCCTATTCCCCCTCCTTCAAATGTAGAAACGCGAAACTTTCAAATATGGTTAAAAGAAACACAACTCTACCCACCTGTCAAGTTTCATCTTTTTATTTCTCATGTTTGTATGGATTTTCAAGCTTTTGACAGCTACGAGTTAGTTCAGTGTCACCGCGCTGTGTTACGGTACCAGAACTTCTCTATCTTTAGAAGGTCCTGTCTTGTGACAGCGTGAATTGAAATTGCAAGATGGTCCGTTGGACACAAAATGGCGTCCGATATATCGGCAGAACGTTTAGTGACGTCATAGCAAACAAAAACAAATCTTACAGAGCTAACAGAAATATTTGAAATAAATAAAAGTAATAGCCTTCTGGAGAAAAATTTCATCTTCAACCACTAAAAATTTCAAAGCAATTAGTCCAGTAATCAAAGAGAAAAGCGACTTTTTAAAAACGTGTCAAAGAACAAGAACAACAACAACAACATAATATTGAAACGATCGTTATGTCCACTACGTGTCCAACAAGAACAACAAAAATACCAAAACGATCGTTATGTCCACTAACGTGTCCAATAATCGTCAAACAGCCGTTTGGTTGGTATAATTCAGTGAAGCGTCGCGGGCCGTAGTTTGCCGACTCCTGCTTTAGATTGTATTAATGATGTCTTCTAGCTGGTTAATTGGACACGTAGTGGACATAACGATCGTTTCAATATTATGTTGTTGTTGTTCTTGTTGTTGTTCTTGTTCTTGTTCTTTGACACGTTTTTAAAAAGTCGCTTTTCTCTTTGATTACTGGACTAATTGCTTTGAAATTTTCAGTGGTTGAAGATGAAATTTTTCTCCAGAAGGCTATTACTTTTATTTATTTCAAATATTTCTGTTAGCTCTGTAAGATTTGTTTTTGTTTGCTATGACGTCACTAAACGTTCTGCCGATATATCGGACGCCATTTTGTGTCCAACGGACCATCTTGCAATTTCAATTCACGCTGTCACAAGACAGGACCTTCTAAATATAGAGAAGTTCTGGTACCGTAACACAGCGCGGTGACACTGAACTAACTCGTAGCTGTCAAAAGCTTGAAAATCCATACAAATATGAGAAATAAAAAGATGAAACTTGGCAGGTGGTAGAGTTGTGTTTCTTTTAACCATATTTGAAAGTTTCGCGTTTCTACATTTGAAGGAGGGGGAATAGGGGGTGTGCATTTCCGATACGTCGATAATATCTTTGTCAACCAATTTGCGGCCACCGTGTTTTCGTCTGTTTGATTGCTGTGATGTGGTGCTTTGTTTATAATTTAACGAGTTTTGTTCGAAATAACCGTGTTCTTGAAATATATGACGGTCAGAAATGCAATTAGAAGCCCAATGTTTTCACGCTGTCACAAGACAGGAACTTCTAAAGATAGAGTAGTTCTGGTACCGTAACACAGCGCGGTGACACTGAACTAACTCGTAGCTGTCAAAAGCTTGAAAATCCATACAAATATAAGAGATAAAAAGATGAAACTTGGCAGGTGGGTAGAGTTGTGTTAACCATCTTTGATAGTTACTTCTCTCCCCCAGGATAAATATGTAAATCCTATCCTAATACGCCGATAATATCTTTGTCAACCAATTTGCGACCACCGTGTTTTGTCTGTTTGATTGCTGTATGGCTGCGTATGCGATAATCTCGACGCAGCAGAAACGATGATCAAGACTTGAAATCCGTGGTCGCACACTGGTCGCAAATACGTCTTTCGAGTGCCGTACTTTGGGGATTTGTATAGCTTTAACCCTTTGTCGTAGAAAGTTAATACGAGGTTTAGCGTGTAGAATAAATGCCGCCAATGCACCCACGGTGAAAAAATTAACGGGTCAGATATATTGGTTTTTGTTTTATAGCGGTTTGAATGAAATTGTCCGCAGACTGGCTACACCCCCCTAGGCCTGGTGAGTTGTCCGTGTAGTCGAATTGTTCATCAGCCCTAAACGGCTATGACAGTCACTGTACCAAAAATTGTACCCCGATTCGGGTGGTGTTAAGTTGACGCATGTTATTTAGTAACGTTTTTATGTGAAATGTTTGACTGTGGTTCGGTACCTGATCCGATAATACGGTACATAATTGACTCATATCACGAGATATTTCAACTGATGTTTCAATTGTCACAGGACCTAAAATATCTATGACAGTCCCTGTACCGTCACGGTACCCCGATACAGGTACTGGTAAGTCACCGCCGGTATGTTAGTCGTTGGTCACCGCATATGATTTTTGGGGAATTGTTCTGCGTGTCCATATATTTGAGCATTGCTCTCTTGTTTCTCTTTCTAATTTGTTTTCTCGGTAAATTTTTCTCATTTTTTCCTTTCAAGGCTACCAGCTATTAAGGTAACAAAAGCGCCGAGATAGTGCCATAGTGAATGAGCACGGATGTAAACAAAGTGTATGAATCTGCTGGTTTGGACGCCAAATCGAGTGATTTATATTCAAAACTCGCCGTACCTCATTATGAAACATCTCAATATTTTACGTAATTTAGCTAGCAGTTGTCAGGCTTGAACACTCTCCCCAAACGCACAACTTGTTATTGATTGACATTAAAGTAGGACATTTTTCAGTGGCCGTTTTCTGTGTATATATATATCGAAATTACCCACATAGATACAAATCATAAGCCAATTTATTTCGATTCAGTTATTATTTATTGTTCATCAGATACATTTCTTATAGTGTTATACACAATATATTTCCATGTATATATATTCCAAATTCATCCAAAATATCTGAAATAAAATACAAAATTTACTGAGAAAATATGCATTTGGTTCCGGTGGCCGAAAATAAAAAGTTTAAAATATATGATCACCTCATTATTCCTCGAGGATTTTATCCTCCAACTGTTCCACGAAGCCCCCTGAAAATAAAGATATGACTCATATGTTTATAAAAAGTTTTCATTTAGGTTGGCAAACCTTGAAATTCAATTCAATCAATAATATTCAAGTGGAGTATTCATCCACTCATAATTTCCAAGTGCAGTTAGAAATAAGAGATTGATCTCTGAGCGAAGTTACGGACGAGCTACTCAGACTATACAGAATAAAAGTGCAGAATGAAGTGGTATAAATACCTATTGATGCACGACTTGAATCAATTCTCATAAATACGATCAGAAAAAAATTATAAGATAGCGAATTACACATATATAACTGAAGTTATTGGGGTAAAATTTTTGAAATTGGGAATTGATTCAGTTAGATTTTTACTTATCGATCTTAAGATCGGTAAGTATATTGATAGGTATTTGTCTGTATGTCTGTCTGTCTGTGTGTCTGTGTGTGTGTCTGTTAGATGCACGCGATATCTCACGAAAGCGAGATTGAATCTGCTCCAGATTTTGCATGTGCATTCATCTTATCTCGGACCAGAAGTCTATTGATTTTGGGCGAATTATGTCGTATAATTAGCGAGTTATCAATCAATTATTGATATAGTGATCTAGATTTTTGTAAAGCGAGAGAATTTTGAAACCCGCCGAGTGTGTGTGTGCGATGCGCAGTGCGCAAGTTACAAGAGCGGATGAATCGAAACTGCAGTTTCTGTTTTGGGGGATCCCCTAACTATCGATCGATAAGTCTTCGGTTTCCAACCGATATTCTCGTTTATTTCTTCTTTAGTTTGATTCACTAAACCGATCGCATACCATTTGCATCAAGAGCACATGTCTAACTTTGAACCTGCGAATAACTAGGTTAATTCCCGATGGAACTGTACAATTTGTGAGAATATAGCAACAATAAAAAAAAATATAAAATATTTTTTTGTATAAAAATATAAAATATTTTTTTGTGCTAGATAATAAATTTTTTTTGAATCCTTAAAAATTTTCTCTAAACTGGAGATAAGATTATATTCGTAAATATTAGCTCGTATCCATAATAACTTTAATAATGAGATATCGTTATAAACCAAAGTAGAAGCTAAAGAGTAGCATTCTGCAACCCTATTTCGTCTTAAAATTCTTGCGTGTGGCTTGGTGATACCGCACTCGTCTACCGCATAGTAACTCCATACGCATAACAAATATTATCTCATGTACCGCATGGATGCTTGAGACTCGACACTCACATTAAATAAACCAAGCATCTTCGACAGGTTTCATTAATACATAGAAATCTTTACACCTTTCTCATCTCAAATTTGTCAACTACTACATAAACATGCGTATTTATGAAAGTTTGTTCCATGTACTATGAAGAAAATGTGGATTTAAATTTAAAAAAAACTATTTCGATTGCTCTTATGTATACCTCTCAGTCGTGCTACTCGTCTGTACATTCGAACTATGCAGCGAATGCTGTAGGCTACATACGAAAAGTACACACAGCGCTAAACATATATTTATTACATTTCTTTGGTGGGGAGGGGGGAGGGGGTCATGTAGCTACATGCTTCACGATCAGGGTAGATTTTATAGAAATACATATTACACAGCCTTGGGGGGTAATGACATCCGTTACATGACATCGAAATGGTATTTGTTTATTTTGTGTCAATAACAACCTCTAAATCTGCACGAGACCGGATGAGGTAGTAATATATACTTTAGTTCTGTGGAAAGTCAAGGGATTTTGACTCGCAATTCAAAATTCGGGGCTCCCGAAGTATGCGAACCAAGATGGCGGACATCGGAATGTAATATGTGTACTAGGTTAGGGTTAGGCCATAATTTTAGGTATAAATACTACGGGAGGCTCTTGGCTCTTGGTCTTCGAACTGATAACAAGACTAAAATAGGGAAAATTGGAAAAAAATTATCGCCTAACCCTAACCTGTTACCCATGTTACGTTCCGATGTCCGCCATCTTGGTTCGCATACTTCGGGAGCACCCAAAATTCTCTATTCGATTGCTCATAGAGTTATCATTCGATTCGTCTTCTCAGGCAGTGTTCAGAATGATTGGCTTGTATCAGGTTTTTAATAATGAACTTGTTTGTAATAGGCGTGTTCTGTTTATAAATATTGTTGAAAAGTTTTAAAAAAATGATATATATAATATATATAGCCCGTAGAGACGAATTCAGTAGTTGCAATAGAATCTTCAGTTACTCTCATCATGTTTGTGTAAATTTCAAATGATTTGGAATTGTCATAAAATAGTGTTAATAGGATTTTTGTGAAACTGTTGATTAATTGATTTATATTAGGCGCTGGGTGTTATTAAAATGCTTCTACTCGTTATGAGGACGTATTCTATAACAAAAGATATAATCCCAGGATTTGTTAGTAAATTGATAATATTTACGGAGCATATATTCAGTTCTTTGCAATAATTAAATAAAAATGATCTTAGGACGACATAGCGGGGACAATGTAATATTAATTGTTCTACGGTTTCGTTTTCCAAGCAAGGGTCGCAAAGTCCATTGTCGTGGAATTTTATGAAGATGATAGTTCAAACGACAGGGGCCTGTTTGTAGTTTGAAAAAGATTATTCCATATCTTCTGGATAAGTCGCAAGAAATATGATCTTAACCAGATAGGAAGAATATACTGAAATGTTGAGCTTTTTCTAGTTATTCCAAGTCGCACTTTGCATTAATAATTAACTTTGCTTCGTTTTTCGAGACTTTGATGACTGATATTACACTATTTTCTCGCATTTTTGCTTCTTTTGCTAGTTTATCTTTATTATACGAAGCACAGTTCATCACAGTAAATTTGTTGCCTGTGACACTAAATGCATTAAACACACACATATATATATAACCTTTGGGAAGTACGACAATGAGAGATTCCAATAACTTGAGCTACAGTCACAACAGAAATTGATATTACACAGCCTGCGGGGTTATGGCATCGAAGTGATATTTGTCAATAACAACTTTCAAATCATTTCGGGTAGTGGCGTTTGTAGGGATATAATTCAGATTATCTTTTCGTGCAGAACGTTCAGAATGATTGGTTTTCTCTTGGTTTGGATTACGAGCTTGTTTGTGATATTCGAATTTATTTAATATATTTTTAAAATAAGTCTTACAGAATGACACAGCGTGATGTCCAATTATTATAAATAGAGCTGACGACTTCAGTACTTTAAATCGAATCGTGACTTATTTAATTCATATTTGTGTGATTTTAGAATGTGCTGATTAAATTTATCATAAAATGCTGTTACGGAATCTCGGAAAAAATGATATTGGCGATACCCTGTTAAAAATTATTACCCGCGAACAATTACTATGGAGCTAGATTGGCGACCCTAGGAGCTAGATTTAATGCTGGAGATATTATAATTACATTGGGCGTTGGGTGCCTATCCCATGCGCAAATATAAGAAATAAAGACAGCAAGCGTCTATAATCTATAGATATTTTACTTGGTACACAGCATTTAGCCAAAACTGCAATATGAACGGAACAGTCATTTTTTGTTTGGTCGCTGTTTTATGCACCCATGTACATGTCGCATTGACACACGAGCAATATGCTTCGATATTAGCAGAACAGTTGAATACCTACTGTGATTCACGCGATCAGGGATCAATTGCAGTATCAACAGGAGCAAAAACTACTCGAATCGGAAAGGCTGGGCCAAAAGGCCCCCGAGGGCCTACTGGCAAACCCGGTTCCGTGAACTACACAGTAGTTAATGAATTGGTCGAAACCAAATTACAAGGTACTTTTATTTTGCTAAATTGCACATAACTGACTTTTCCTCTTAAATTAGTAACTAACTTCGGACATTTTTCATAAAAAAATTTACTCGAAGCAAGGGTACGTGCGCTAACTCAGAACTCACCAACCGTGAAACTTCCCAATGATGACAAGAGAACTATGCTCAAATATATGGACACGTAGAGCCACATAATTTTGATGACGTCATTGCAAAAAAAAGTAATAGCCTTCTGGAAAAAATTTTTATCTTTAACCACTAAAATTTTAAAGCAATTGGTCCAGTAATCAAAGAGAAAAGCGATTTCTTCAAAACGTGTCAAAGGACAAGAACAACATAACAACAAAACGATCGCTATGTCCACTACGTGTCCAATAAAACCATAATGGATTATAGTGTAGAATTGTGCAGTATATTGTGAATACCGATTTGAATAAATATATATACAAATGAAGCAATGCTCAACTACATGAATATGGATGGCAAATGACTATAGATTAAAATATGGCCACCGCAATATCAATAAAATTTTGAAAAAATTGCTTTTTCTTAGCCAATTCATACCACACAAATTTGTGATTATGATGTCTGTACTAACATGCTGTTCTTCTTTGTCTTTCGCTTTCAGAGCTAAGCGTTGGAAAGAGATTGACCAATTTGAACGAAAGAATCACAGAAATAGAAAAAGGTATTTGCCTTGCCAATTTTTTTGTTAGGGTAAGTACTAGGGATGGGCCGGGATTTTTCTCTTTTTCGGCGGCCATAATACAAACGTAAACGTGGTCAATATGCGCCTTGGCTGTGAACTGGATTTCCAGCCCACCTTGCGTCAATTCTGGGCGGCAATTCAGAAATTTTTCTGCAGGATTTTTCTGCAATTATAGGTTCAAATATTCGCAAAACAAAATAAAATCCATAGGTGCAATTGTCCTGAGTTCAAATGTACGTGGGTTCAAATGTACGGGAACCAACGAAGACAATGTTCTTCATCAGTCCCTTGTGCGAGCCTGTACTGCTGTTTCCATGGTTACCTACAATGTGGTGCTTGGAGTCGACTTTCTTTTGTTGAAACGGCGACTACTTGGCATATACCAGGTTGCCTTGACGTATGTTGGTTTTTGTTCGTCTTTATTCTATTTATCATATTATGTTAGACTGTCCAGGCTTTATATTGCCATTCTCTCTAAGCCATGTGTAACAAATTAAGGAAATCCTACAGTTTTCATTGCAAATTAAATACCGTAAACCGCTCCCAGACAAGGAACGCAGCATTCCACTGCACATAATATATTTTATGGGTTGTTGTCAATGCAGATCTACAGAGGCTAAAGCACGTAGATTGTGCCAGAGTCACATCAGACTTTGCAAAGTCTCATTCTGAACTTGGAGGAGTTTTCGATATTTATATCGGATTACTGGGAACTAAAATGGAAGTATTTTGCGATCTAACAACAGATGGAGGCGGTTGGACTGTGAGAATTAATGTTATTTCTCGTTTGTAGCTACTATGAATGTAGACCATGTACAATTTAGCCAACATATTATCCATCTAGTTTTTAGTTTATTTTTAGTCAACGTAACCAGGGTATTTATCATTATCTGACTCGTAGTTCATTTTGGAAGTTTTGTTGGTCTTGTTGTTGACCCGGAAACATACTGCGTCAAAACGAATAACTTCCTAATTTAGGATAAAAATACGACATATTTACTTATTTCTTATAGCAAGCACAAAAATGATAAGTACTAAATAAATGTCCCACTGAGTAAATTTGGCGTCGCATGAGTCACACAAATGTCTCAATGCGACACGGCACGCTTCTCCGATTCCAAGACTGTACCGATATTTAGGCATATGAAACAAACCCACAACATTTGTTTATGCAACTAGGGCGTCTCGAGGAACGGCGTTGAGAGCCGGGTTGTTTGGTCATGGGCTAGGCTCTCTGACGTAATTATTTAACATTCGTGTTCACATATTTAAACATTGCTCTCATGTATTTTCAATTATCAAGGTGTTTCAAAGACGCATAAACGGATCCGCAGACTTTTATAGAAACTGGGATGAATATGTTTCCGGATTCGGCAATTTAGCTGGAGAATTTTGGATGGGTAACTTTGGTATTATATTCCTAATGTTAACTGCGCTAACTGACCATACTTGCGAAGAGGCGAGAAGACAATAATGCTGCACAGTAAAACTTTGGTTAAGGGTGCAAACCATATGTCTATATATGAAAGTTTAGTTGAAAGTTGCACACAACGATAGCCTAGCCCTAGATAAACTATCATTCCCTGTTCAGGACTGGAGAAGTTACATCGTTTGACATCTCGTACCAGCTATGAATTGAGAATAGAGTTCGAAGATTGGGAAGGAAACAAACCATATGCTAAATACGAGTCAGTTAAGTTACTGTAATTTTATATTTGCGCGCAAATACTCACATTTATATTTTACAGCAGTGTACGGCAAACTTTGTGTATTAGCGGGCCAAACCGGTAGCATGCGGGCGCATTAATTTTCGCCAACGAACAGTATCACGTTAAACTTCAAATTATGGCGCACTGGCGACTCATATTACTATGTTAAAAGCCTGCCAATGAGACGTGTATATGATCGTTTCCTATTTATTTTCAAACACAAAACATTGTTTATATTTACTTATCATCGATGTGAAGCATGATGTTGTTTCTGCGTGTGGGCCAAAGCGTTGAAATCAATTGACAACTTTGTTTTCATGCAGAACGTCGTTCAATGAACGATCTGACAAGCGAGTACAAAGTTTAGTCTTACTTTTAGTAAAATTCATTTTGGATAAAGCTGCTCACAGCAATACGTGCTTCCGAACGTGCACATTACACGTTTTGCATTGTCGTACAGATGAGTAACGGCGCAGCCACTGGTCCCGGGGTCGAATTTCGTAATGACGTTTAACATTAAAGCCATAAATAACTGCGATGCTGGCTTGACATATCAGGCAAACAGATTTTTAAATGCCCAAGAATGAAGCATTTTCCGTCCAAGCACTTTGGAAGGTTCGCTTGATTCGGCTTTATATATTACAAGGGGGGTTGCTCGAGGGTTGCAAAAATAATTCGCATTTGGTCAGCGGGTCGCACTTTGTCGACCACAGCTTTACATCATTATATCTTCGCGAACATTAACTTCGAACATCGTTCCGACGAAAGCTTCAGTCAACTTACTGGGGCGTTCAATATTGTAAAGTATAATATACATGATTTTACAGGTCATTTTCGGTTGGAGACTCCGGCAGCAAGTATACCCTTACGGTAGCTGACTATTCCGGAACAGCAGGTGACTCTCTCCAATACCACAGCGGTTCAAAATTTTCTACATTTGATCAAGACAATCCCTCCAGTTGTGCAACTGTTTACAAAGGGGCGTGGTGGCACAAGGACTGTTATTATGCAAACTTGAATGGCGTGTATATGAATCAGGGTAGCTACACGGCGGACAAAGCGATTGGCGTGGAATGGTGGCATTATAAAAATGCACATTGGTATTCCATGAAATTTGTCGAGATGAAAATACGACCGAAATTTTGAAAAAGATTATTGAATTATGTATAATAAAATACCCTTTCCGCCTATTAGTACTCTATGGTGGCCCATCGTTGTCACGCGTAAAATTGAAATTAAAAAATAAAATAAAAAACCGAAAATAAAAAAATAGTTGTGAAAAAACATAAAAATAATTGAAAAAAAAAAATGAAAAAAAAATTTAAATTAAAAAAAAAAAATTAAAAATAAGAACGAAAAAAAACGTAAAAAAAAAATTAAAAAAAAAATTGAAAAAAAAAAAAAAGAAAAGTTGAATAAAAAGAAAAAGAAAAGGTTGACAACGATGGTCCGCCTCGTGGCCCATCGTTGTCACAGTTTTTATTTTTAGAAAATTTGCTTCTGCTTGGGACCAACGTTGCCAGGCATAATCCTACGCGCACAAATGTGTTCCCTGGGTTTCCAACTCACTACTGATTTTCTCGAGCAATATTCAATATGAAAATGTTCTATAATTTCTCCATGCTACAAGTTCAACAAGAAGTAATATATTTATAATAATGATAAGAGAATATAGAATTGAATACGAAAATTCGGAAAATTTGTTTTTACGTGTAGAAGGTAATTTAATTGGAGAACGCTGGTTAACTACTCAGTTGTCTGAACACTCGCGATGCCGGTACCGTCTTACCAAATACCGGTAGTCGGTTATAGTCGCTTTGCGTATGACCGTACCGGTAGCCATGCAATCACTCATGAAAGAATGGGAGATACGGATAGTCTCGTAGAATATAGACTACTGAAACACTCTCTGCGCCTGCCCCATACCGTACAGCCGTAACGTACCGATCCAGACAAATGATGAATCGCCCGTGCTCAACCATTTATTTCAATCCATACCTCGATCCTAGTAGAATATAGTGAGTCGAGGTATGGATTGAAATAAATGGTTGAGCACGGGCGATTCATCATTTGTCTGGATCGGTACGTTACGGCTGTACGGTATGGGGCAGGCGCAGAGAGTGTTTCAGTAGTCTATATTCTACGAGACTATCCGTATCTCCCATTCTTTCATGAGTGATTGCATGGGTACCGGTACGGTCAGACGGTACCGTACCGGCATCGCACGAGTGTCCAGACAACTGAGCAGTTAAGCAGCATTTTCCAATTCAATTACCTTTTACACGTAAAAACAAATTTTCATATTCAATTCTATATTCTCTTATCATTATTATAAATATATTGCTTGTGGTTGAACTTGTAGCATGGAGAATTTATAGAACATTTTCATGTTGAATTTATTGGATATTGCTAATAAAAGTCAGTAGTGAGTTAGAAACCCAGGAAACACATTTGTGCGTGTAGGATTAAGCCTGACAACGTTGGTCCCAAGCAGCATCAAATTTTCTAAAAATAAAAACGCATGACAACGATGGGCCACGAGGCGGACCATCGTTGTCAACCTTTTTATTTTCTTTTTATCCAATTTTTTTTTTAATTTTTTTTTTTTAATTTTTTTTTTTAATTTTTTGTTTTTGTTTTTATTTTTAAATTTTTTTTTTCTCTTCCTTTTTTTCAATTATTTTTATGTTTTTTCACAACTATTTTTTTATTTTCGCTTTTTCATTTTATTTTTTCATTTTTTTTTAAATTTCACGCGTGACAACGATGGGCCACCGTAGTACTCTGTAGTATTATGCCGTACGTAAAATGTGGTGTTTTTGAGTAATACAGGAAACAGAACGCATTACAGTCTTTATTTTTAAGCGATTATCGGGCGATCCATCAAAATTTTAACCTTCCAATGGTTTTCACATAGCTTGTTGCTTTGGTTGGACTAATATTGAGTATGCCGATAAATTTGTATCTTTCGCATGGAAAGTTTATTTACAAATTTAGAGGCATGCTCATTAGTAGTTCAGTAATATTAGGATATTCAGATAATAAAGGAATTGCTAAAATATAACATTAATAAAAGGGCTTTGTGTTTGACCATTATTTTAATAAAATGCATTTCATAGTTTCTTGTCCAAAAGTCCAAGACGCGCGTTTTCGGGTTTACGAACCGTAACATATCATGTATACAAATTGAGTTGTTGGACACGAAGTGGACATAACGATCGTTTCAATATTATGTTGTTGTTGGACACGTAGTGGACATAACGATCGTTTCAATATTATGTTGTTGTTGGACACGTAGTGGACATAATGATCGTTTCAATATTATGTTGTTGTTCTTGTTCTTTGACACGTTTTTAAAAAGTCGCTTTTTTCTTCGAATACTGGACTAATTGCTTTGAAATTTTCAGTGGTTAAAGATAAAAATTTTCTCCAGAAGGCTATTACTTTTTTTTTCGCTATGACGTCATCAAAAATTATGTGGCTCTACGTGTCCATATATTTGAGCATAGCTCTCTTGTTGTTCTTGTTCTTTGACACGTTTTTAAAAAGTCGCTTTTCTCTTCGAATACTGGACCAATTGCTTTGAAATTTTCAGTGGTTGAAGATAAAATTTTTCTCCAGAAGGCTATTACTTTTATTTATTTTAAAATTTCTTGTGGACTTCGAGAGATTCGTTTTTTGTGTTCAAAGAAGTGATCAGAATAAAAAATAGTGACACCTTGTGGCGATTGCGCGAAGGCATATCAACTGAGAAGCGATCGTAATTCTTGCTCCGCTAAGAGTTGTTTATGGGGAATCGAGGTGTTTGGGGTTACCGGTACCCGCAATGCAGCAATGCAACGGTTTGCGATAACTTCTTGGCTAGTTGACTATTACTACAGCTTCGCTTGGTGACCATATATTTGTTGACTGCGGTATTTACTGTTATCAGTTGGTATTTCAAATTATTTCTCAATAAACTCGAAAGGTTTTTGAGGTTAAGTTAAACTACCGGTACTGTTTCGCTCGGTGTTCAATCAATCAATCAATGTTCACTTTCCATATATTTCAGTATTTGTAGACTGTGGTTCCCGTGTTAAGCTAAAGTGATACCGGTACCGGTACGATAGCTGGGAAAGCTATGACAGTCCCTGTGGCCTGTACGGCACGTACCGGTACCGTTTACAGGTTTACGTACCGTCTTACCGATACCGGTACCGTAGTCCGTTACGGTACGTACCGGTACAGCTGTACAGGTACGATATCGGTAGACTAGTACAGTATTACTGTACTAGTTGCATTAATTATCTTTGTTTAGAGTGTGTGCCTGCATTGAAATTAAGTTTTTGTAATGAGCCAGCATGTCTGCACAGCTGCTATGCCTTTCTAATTTTTCGCTGTTTCGTTACATTTTTTTGGAAACAACATTTGCATAAATACGTATGGTACCGTATGCAGAGGAAGAAACTTCACGAAAATTTCAACATGTGCAGCAGGGCAGTGTACATAAATCAGTAAATACAGAAATATGCAAAGGAAGAGACTTTACAAAAAGGATAAGATTTACATAATTATCCCGATGGAGAGGAAAGCCTATAGAACGGCTTAACCATATTGCGAACCACAGCCTCTTGTCTAGTTACCGGTAAGGTACCATTCCAAGTCTGGTATAGCTGTATGGGATTAGTTAGTTATTTGTTTTCGGAAGCATGGATTTGATTAGTTTAAGTGGCCAGCATATCAAATGTCTAATAGTGAAATATATTTCATATTTTCGCTATTTTATCTTTTCCCGAGGTCAATCAAAATCAAAATCCTACACAGTAAAAATACGGCGCAGTTCTACCACTGCATGGCGGCAGTTCCAGTACACGTCTAAAAGCTGGAGCAACTGAAACTATTTCTGCTATCACATATGCTTGCCAGTCGCCAGCTGGTAAGGATAGCATAAGGACAGGGCTCCTTAACACCAGTATTAAAATATGCTTTGCTCTATCGTTATCCAAATGCATTGGCTGAAAGTTAATTAAAAATGTTTTTTATGTGATTCATGTGTGGAATCATGTTCTGAAAGAGGCATACAAAAATTTGTTAAGCAGTAAATAATATTTCATTTACGGTATATGGGAACACGTTTAAAGACAAACTATAAGTCATTTTGTCATCTGTTTTTGGACACGTAGTGGACATAACGATCGTTTCAATATTATGTTGTTGTTGTTCTTGTTGTTGTTCTTGTTCTTGTTCTTTGACACGTTTTTAAAAAGTCGCTTTTCTCTTTGATTACTGGACTAATTGCTTTGAAATTTTCAGTGGTTGAAGATGAAATTTTTCTCCAGAAAGCTATTACTTTCATTTATTTCAAATATTTCTGTTAGCTCTGTAAGATTTGTTTTTGTTTGCTATGACGTCACTAAACGTTCTGCCGATATATCGGACGCCATTTTGTGTCCAACGGACCATCTTGCAATTTCAATTCACGCTGTCACAAGACAGGACCTTCTAAATATAGAGAAGTTCTGGTACCGTAACACAGCGCGGTGACACTGAACTAACTCGTAGCTGTCAAAAGCTTGAAAATCCATACAAATATGAGAAATAAAAAGATGAAACTTGGCAGGTGGGTAGAGTTGTGTTTCTTTTAACCATATTTGAAAGTTTCGCGTTTCTACATTTGAAGGAGGGGGAATAGGGGGTGTGCATTTCCGATACGTCGATAATATCTTTGTCAACCAATTTGCGGCCACCGTGTTTTCGTCTGTTTGATTGCTGTGATGTGGTGCTTTGTTTATAATTTAACGAGTTTTGTTCGAAATAACCGTGTTCTTGAAATATATGACGGTCAGAAATGCAATTAGAAGCCCAATGTTTTCACGCTGTCACAAGACCAACAATTGTCAACCAATTTGCGACCACCGTGTTTTGTCTGTTTGATTGCTGTATGGCTGCGTATGCTATAGTCTCGACGCAGCATAAACGGTGATCAAGGCTTGAAATCCGTGGTCGCACTGGTCGGTCGCAAATACGTCTTTCGATGCCGTACTTTGGGGTTTTGTATAGCTTCAACCCTTTGTCGTAGAAAGTTAATACGAGGTTTAGCGTGTAGAATAAATGCCGCCAATGCACCCACGGTGAAAAAATCAACGGGTTAGATGTATTGGTTTTTGTTTTATAGCGGTTTGAATGAAATTGTCCGCAGACTGGCTACACCACCCTAGGCCTGGTGAGTTGTCCGTGTAGTCGAATTGTCCATCAGCCCTAAACGGCTATGACAGTCACTGTACCAAAAATTGT